CCATTTTTGCATTATCTTAAGTAAAACTTTATTTGCATGGGATATCAATGATATTGTCCAATGACTTCCAAATTCCATTAGGTCACCTCTCATTAGAATGGGCACAAATACAGATCTCTTCCAGTCAGTGAGCCAGGTAGTTGTCTTCCAAATTTCTTGGCATAGATGAGTGAGCGCCTCCAGTGCTGCATCACTTTGCTGAAATATTTCAATATGTATTCCACCAATTCCGGGTGCCTTGTTCTTTGCCAATGACGTCAGTGCACCTTGGACTTCTTCCTTCAGTATGATCGGCTCTAGATCATATGCTCCCCCTTGAAATTGTTGAACATCAACCATTTCTTTTTAGTACCGTGTTCTGTGTATTCCTTCCATCTTCTCTTAATGCTTTCTGTGACTTTCAGTATTTTTGCCCATAGAATCCTTCCATACCTCAAGTCGAGGTTTGAAATTTTTCTTCAGTTCCCTCAGCTTGAGAAATGCTGAGTGTGTTCTTCCCTTTTGGTTTTATAACTGCAGGTCTTTACACATTTTGTTATAATATTTGACTTTGTCTTCTTTAGCTGACTTTTGTAATTTTCTGTTCAGCTCTTGTACCTACTCATATTTTCTATTTACTTGAGCATCTCTATGCTGGAAAGCAATTTTCAGAGTCTTTTCTGACATCCATTTTGGTTTTTTCCTTCTTTCTTTTCTTCTCAATGACCTTTTGGTCATTTGAACATCCTATATGCTTTTCTTGATGTCATCCCACAACTCTTCTGGCCTTCGGTCTTCAGTGGCTAATAAATCAAATCTGTTCTTCGGACAATCTCTATTTTCAGGTGCGATATATTCAAGGTCATATTTTAGCTCTTGTGGACTTGTTTTCATTTTCTTCATCTTCAGTTTGAATTTGCATATAAGCAATTGATGGTCTGTTCCAGTCTGCCCCTGGCCTTGTTTTTGGCTGATGATATGGAGCTTTTTCAACATCTCTTTATACAGATGTAGTCAATTTGATTTGTGTGTATTCCATCTGTTGAAGTCCATGTGTATAGTTGTGTTTTATATTGCATCAAAAAGGTATTTGCAATGAACAAGTCATCGGTCATGCAAAATTCTATCATGCAATATCCAGCATCATTTCTATCTCCAAGGTCCTATTTTCCAATTACTGATCCTTCCTCTGTTTCCAACCTTTGCAACCCAATTGCCAGTGATCATCAATACATTTTGATTTTATGTTTGATCTATTTCAGACTGAAGAAGTTGGTATAATTCCTCAATTTCATCATCACTGACTTTAGTTGTTGGTGCATAAATTTGACTAATAATGGTATTCACTGGCTTTCCTTGTAGGACTATGTATATTATCCTATCACTGACAGCATAGTACTTTAAGACAGATGTTGATATGTTCTTTTAAATGATGAATACAATGCCATTCCTCTTCAATTGGTCATTCATGGCATAGTAAACCATGCTATTGTCAGATTCAAAATAGCCAATACCAGTCCATTCCAGCTCATTAATGACTAGGATATCGATATTTATGCATTCCATTTCATTTTTGACAATTTCCAATTTTCCTAGATTCATACTTCCTACATTCCATGTTCCAATTATTAATGGGTTTCTACAGATGTTTCTCTTCATTTTGAGTTGTGCCTTAGCAGAAAATGAAGTCCCAAGGGCTTTACTCCATTCTCGTCATTGTGGTCAACTCTACTTTGAGGAGGCAGCTCTTCCCCAGTCACATTTTGAGTGTCTTCCAACCTGAGGGGCTCATCTTCTGGCACTATATTTGACAATATGCTGGTGCTCTTCATCAGGTTTCAGTATTTAATAATCTGGTGCTAACAATGTTCCACTGTTACCCATAAGGTTTTCAGTGACTAATATTCGTTTCACCTTCTTCCTATTCTGTCTTTGTCTGGAAGCTCAGCTGAAACCTGTCCACTGTGAATGAATGTGCTGGTATTTAAAATACCTGTGGCATAGCTTCTACCACAGTAAGACAAACTGATAGATGAATAGTGGAATATTTTGAGGTACTGGGTCAAATATAGTATTAAAATGACTTTTACCTTCCATTTGTAAGCTTTCTAATATGGCTATTAGGAAATTTGAAGCACCGTGATGGTGCAGTGGTTAAAGCACTCAGCTGCTAACTGAAAGGTAGGTAGTTTGAACCCCCCAGTACCTTGCAGAAAGACGTAGCAGTCTGCTTCCGTAAAGATGTACAGCCTTGGAAGCCCTATGTTTGGAGCAGTTCTACCCTATCCGATAGGGTCACTATGAGTTAGAATTAAGTTAACTGCACTGGCTTTTTACCAGAAAAATTTAAAGCGCATAAGTGATGTTCATTTTTATTGTATGGTAGTAGTAGTAATATTTGCCACCAACTGAGGTCTGACTCATAGCATCGGGTTTCCCAGGCAGTATATTTTTATGGGAGCCTCATTTTTCTCCTAAGAAATGGCTGATAATTTTAAAGTGCTGACCTTGCGGTTAGCAGCCCAACACCTGACCACCACACTTCCAGGGCTCCTTTCCTATTACATAGTGGCAGCCTAAATAATTTTCTTATGGACTTAAGAGATCATGGAATTTTGTATGAAATTTTTTAAGTCCCCTTGTATGTATGTGATATGTCAAAGTGAAGGTGTTAAACTAAGCAGTTGGAGAGCAAGACTGATGTTCTATATTTCTTGATATGTCTTGCAGCATTCAGCAGGATCCACAGCAGTTACTAAATTTAAGTGGATTCCTGAGGACCTTCTTGCTCGCTTTGGCATTTCATGGTGCAGGGGCTGTAGTTCAACGGGGTCCCTAGGAATGCAGGACAGAATAGGGGAGAGAGTTGTGGAACAGCCAGGCCATGAGGGATCTGCATTGGTTCCTTTAGTCATACAGAGTTGTTCTCACAAACCACTTTCCAGGTATCCAGTGTCCATAGATTCAAGCTGCCTGGCAGTTCTGCAAATTAGTCACCACCTTTGGCTTCTTTCTCTGCTTTGTGGGCAGTAAGTATCTGGTTTGGGATGGGCGATTCCTATCTTCAAAGTCATGGGATCAAGATACTTATATTTTAATGAACAGCATGTAACCTTGATGCCTGGCCAAGGTGGAGGTGTGAGCATCCCAGGTGGGGTCCTAAGTGGGGCTGACACTTTCAACCTTACAGTGGGGCTATTCTGATCTCCTCTGATCACAAGCACCCCACTCACAGCTGCCAGGAGCATTTGAGGAAAGGAGTGTAGGAGGTATAGGAAGCTTTGCTGCCCCCACTCACTTGGACCATAGTCCTGAAGTATTAGAAACATTATTATTGTTGTGTGCCATCCAGTCAATTCTAACTCATAGCAACCCCATGTGACAGAGTCTAATCAACCCATAGCATCTTCTTGACTGAAGTCTTTATGAAAACAGATTGCCATGTCTTTTTCCCGCAGAGCCATGGGGTAGATTCAACCTTACAAGTGTCCCAAATTTATGTGTGAGAAGTATTGAAGGATACTGAGAAATGTGTGAGCGACTCTGTCTGTCTCTGGATACTATTGATTACCCCCATTCCCGGTTTATGCACCTCTCTCCTTCTCTATGCTCTGGGGAAGAAAAGAAGCAAGTCATAGAAGAGAGGGACAAGTGTGCCCAGAAGTAACCTCAAGGGCTATAGAGCAGAGCTCCTGAAAACACACTGTTACCAACTTCCTTCTTTGGCAGAAGCCAGCTAATTCTCAATGTACCCGAATGGAATGGAACAATGAGGCCATAACCCACCAAGGTGTGGGCATGTCTCAAGACCATTTCCTCTTTGTGGGGGAGCAGTGGTCAGGGTGAGAAGATAAAGGAGGTGGTAGGCAGTTCTTGCCAGACAGAGCCCAGACTTTGAAGTGGACCCAGAAGGTGTCCTGATTTTTGCTTGTCACTCCTTCATTAAACAGACCTATAGTTCAATGGAAAACTTTATTGGAAATGTATGTCCTGGGCTATTTCTTGTCTTCTATGGACTGCATCAGGCAATAGTGGTCTCCAAAGCTGTGATATTCAATGATTCTCTCTTGGATCCTTCATGCCCTCCCAGGAACAAGGGAAGATGGGCCATGCTATGGAAACTATCCCATGGAGGGTTGTTGAAGATGGTGACCGGCTTCATCATGATAGCTTTTGAGGTCCACTGCATTAAAGGAGAGTTGACACTGATGAACAGGGACATGCCACCGAGGTTCATGTATCCCAAAGAGTGGCAGCACCTCACCATGTTCATCCTCCTCACCCTCAATGGCTGTGTAGATATCATGAGCAAGAATGTGCTGCCTCAGAGGTGTATGTTCCTGGAGCTAGGTGTCCGGATCCTGACCTTCTATGTGCTCCTACTGCTGTTGGTGTCACACACTCAGGGCACAGCAGGGGTGGAGCTGCAGGTCCACTCTCTGCTCATCTTGGTGGTGTTCCTGATAACGCTGGTGCTGACGGCAGAGCTGTGGGCTCCTGACATGTTTCACCTCTGGCTCATCGAGACCTTTCTGTTTCTGATGATGGGCTCCTGGCTGATGCAGGCAGGCTTTATTTTGTTCAAACCAGTCTCGAGCTACCCATGGCAGGATGATGACATGAGTGACATCATGTTTGTCACCACCTTCTTTTGCTGGCATATTATGATCAATGCTTTATGCCTTTTATGGATTTATGGTTTCTCTTTCTTTTGGTATCGTTGTTACAATCCTAGCTTGAAGCTGACGTGGCTCAAAGAAGCTCCATATCACTTCAGCACTCCAGGACCCCACTATAAGTTGCTACAAGAAGTGGAGCAGTCAGAGAAAGATGAACAGACTCTCCTCCTTCCAACAAACTCACCCTGAGAACGAATGGCCTTGGAGTGCCTGACACAGAATCCACTCTATCTTTCTCTTTGTGAATTCTCTTGGTCATGTGCATCACATCCTCTTTGGTCCTCAGTGAAGTAATGACTCTAAAGGAGAGCAGGTGGTCCCCATCTGCTGGTACATGCCCTGCCCCGAAGCTTCTAATCACTGAGGAGATGGAGAGAGAAGGGCCTGAGAAAGGCTTGCTGATGAGACAGGGTGAGGAGGAATAGAGTGGGGAAGCGGGGGGCATAGGGAAGTTTGTAAGAAAAGCCATGGTTGGGGCAAGAATGCAATAGAATGGAAGACGAGGAAAGGAAGGGAGCGGAGTCCAGCAGCCATGCCATGCCAAGCTGCTTCTCAAGGCCCCTGAGGGAATACAGACTCCTCACTGTTCCAAATTGGAATCAATCAAGTCTGAGCCTAATCAGGAAAAGCAGGTACTTGTATTTGCTTCCTAAAGTGACGCCACCATGTGGAAGTAGCATCAGTCGACTCTTATTGATACAGACTTTTAGGTTGAAATTTTGCTTTTTGCCTTCTCTCCCTCAATTGATATAGATAAGCTTCATTTCAAAATTTTCACATAAAGCAAGACTTTATTGATACTTGAATATCAAAACATTTCAAATTTGCATAATTCAGATATTCATAGATTTCAAATTCTCAGTACATCTCCACCTGTCTATCTTATTTACTCTCCTACTAGCGTAGTGATTACGAACCGGGCTGCAAGCCGCAAGGTCAGCAGTTTGAAACTACCAGCTGTTCTGTGGGAGAAAGATGAGGCTTTCTGCTCCCGTAAAGATTTACAGCCTCAGAAACCCTGTACAGGGTCACTATGAGTCGGAACCGACTCCATGGCACATAACAACAACAACAACAACAACTCAACCTAAGGCACACCCAGTTTACCTTCACCATCCACACTCATCATTTACTAGACCCTACTCTTGGGATTTTGTATATTTCATTCCCTTGCATTTCACAGAAAGCCAACCAGCAGTCACGTTTACCATATTATTTGTGACCCAGCATTAATCCCATGTCTATCTCTACCCCACATTGACCACCCCTAAGAAGTCCTTCCCAAAGAGCTCTTACTCACTTCTTTGTTCTGGAATTCTTAGGTACTCAGACTAAATCTTGCTGTTTTGCACATACATCTAATATACTTTGCTTTGTCCTTCAAATCATTTCCCTTGGGAGATTTTTCTCACTAATGACAACGTAGGCTTTTTAAGGCTAGGGTCTTTGACATATCCAAGTTATTTATTTTCCTATGGGTGTTCCAACAATGTAACATGTTGTTAGCTGCAATCTAACTGGCTGGTGATGTATGGTAACTCCATACACAATGGAACACTTTCCAGTCCTTTGCCGTCTTCATGAATGGGTGTGGGTCAAACCATTGTGATCCGTAGGGTTTTCATTCACTAATTTTTGGAACTAGATTGCCATGCCTTTCTTTCTAGTCTGTCTTAGTCTAGAAGCTCAACTGAAAACCTGTTCTTCATCATAGCAACGCACAAACCTCCACTGACAGAGAGGAGGTGGTGGCTGTACATGAGGTGCACTGGCCAGGAACTGAACCCGGGTCCCCTTCATGGAATGTAAGAATTTTACCACTACTCAATACAGACTTATTTGCTTCCAGAATCCCCACCACCATCATCCTGTTTCTCCTAAATGTGAATTCACATCATTCTTCCTCCACAGCTTCTGCTGACACTTTGGGAGATACCAGTAGTCCTCAAACCTGAGTCATCTTCTTAGAAATGGGTTCACTTTGTTCCTCATTCTTGGGCATAATAAAATCCACTAGCCTGTTTCTACATTGTTGACTCTGGGTTTGCTTTTGAATCCTCAGAAGCATTCTGTAAGGAACCTCCAGAAAATTGAGACTGCAGCAGGCTGACTAGCCCGACGTCTCATAGCTGGTATGAGTCCAGCCAGTCACTTCAGAGCAGGTGTGTCTAAGGTCAGTGCTCCTATGTCCTCTGGCTCGCAGTGACTCTGATCATAGGGAAGGGAATGGACCTGAAAATAACACTGGTTTGTTTTTGTGTGTGTGTATATGTGTGTGTGTGTGTGTGTGTTTAAAAGGTCAACCAGAAGGCCCAGCTAAAACAAGCAGCACAATGTGAAGTGTGAACACTTTATGTGTGTATGCCCTTTAAGTCGATTTGGACTCACACAGACTGCCCCATGGGGTTCCCTAAGCTGAACTCTTTACAGGGGCAGATCACCACGTGTTTTCTCTGGTGGAGTGGCAGGTGTGTTCGAACCACTGACCTTCAGGTTAACAACCAAGCACTTGATCACACTGCCACCAGAGCACCTCTGTGAACACTCTGGGATCCTGAAAAGGTATACAGATGCCCTCTCCCCATCTGTTTCTCTCATCCTGCCCCCAGTCTCCACTGGGACTGAGAATCTGGCAGGCTCTCAGCCTCTGGCTGGGTCTTTAATTTCTGGGCTCACATCCAAGTCAGGTCTGGGGATAAGACTTCTTTTGTGACTAAGTTTTCTAATCCTTTCCATTTCTCTTGTTGCTCAGATGTTTTTCAATGACCTTTCTTTTGTGTGCCTGTCTACTTCTCTTGTATCATATATATG